TATATATATATATATATATATATATATATATATATATATATATATATATGTATGTGTATATATGTGTGTGTGTAAATCTATCTATATCTATCTATCATTTCTCCATCTCTCTCTCTCTTCCATCCATCCATCCATTTACATATATTCCCCTTTTAAAAATGTCAGCTCAATCTTTTTTATCTATTTAGAAATAATTCCTTTGATTTCAGTGAAGTCTATTCCTAAATTAGTGGATGTAAAATTAGCCTTTAACTAAATAAAGTAAAAGCTATTTTTCAATAAATCTCCCCGTTATGAGTTAATTATAATTACATGTTCTTGCTACTGCTTAGTTTTTGACACCACTAAGAAAATTATAGGTAAGAACAATATTTGATTTGCTACCTCATTGTTATCCTGACAAGGTAGTATAACTTTTTTTTCCAGATTAGCATTTTTAAGAATAGGAGTCGGATTTATTATGGCATTATGGCATTTTCTAATAATAAGATAAATCTACTGTATACAGTATATAAAGGGCAATCCAAACAATTTAATGTATTTTGGGAAAGACCTGTTACCAATTACAAAGCTCAGGAAAGCATTGCAGAAGCCCAGATGAGAAAAGAAGGAACTGAAAATGTCACAGACAGGCCGATAGGTGTGTTCACACACATGTACACACTCACTCAGAAAAAGAGAAGAAGCATCTTGCACGCTTCTGTCATAATAGTCAATCTTAATTAAAGTAGACTTAAGTATATCTGACATGTTTTTGTGAGTCTCATCTCCCTCACAGCAATAGCATTTAGACTTATATACTGCTTCATAGTGCTTTAAAGCCCTCTCTAAGCGGTTTACAGAATCAGCCTTCCCCCCTCCCCCCAACAATCTGGGTTCTCATTTTATTGACCTCGGAAGGAAGGAAGGCTGAGTCAACCTTGATCTGGTCTGGATTGAACTGATGGCAGTGGAATGCAGATGTTTTGCCTGCAATACTGCATTCTAACCACTGTGCCACCACGGCTCGTAGCGTTGACAAGGAATCATAATATATGACCAATAGCTTCAGAGTTTTTAAGATAGCTGGAGATCTTTTCAGAGTTTAATGTAGAAACATCCCCTTGCACCCTTAAAATGTTATTCATCATGTAATTTAGGAAAAAGGATCCGATTCTTTAGAATTATGATTATATAATTTGATATTTTAAATATTTTCCCACCTTTTTTCTAAAAAAAACTGACAAAGAACAGATTTTGTATATCTATACTATAAAATTGGGTTTTGGTATCCAACTTTCCCAAAAACATAGCTGTTGTGGCCCAGCAGGTGCCGTTGGAGCTGCCACCAGACTCCGACAGCAAGGGGCCCTCTGAGTCAGCTCTGGAGGATGTGGAGGACCCTGGACAGGTTCCCGACTCCGAGCAGGGCACAGAGAGACTCCACCAGGAGGCATCTGAGCCTTGGACCAGTGGGGAGGAGACAAGGGAGAGTGAGCCGAAAGCCAGTAGTGAGTTGTTCCTGGATGCAAGCCATTGAAGAGCTAATATGTGTCAGGAACAGTTGCGCAATTACAGGAGGTGATTGCACTCAGCTGGTGGTCATTAGGCTCC